CCATCGACAGGGCCAGGGCTGGACACAAACCTATGCTCTGTCTTTCTATCCCTCTTTCTTTCGCCAGGGCTGTGGTGCTCGATGCCCAAGCACGAACGACGAAAAAGGCGAACGCAGTGCTCTGCACAAGCTGACTCTGCGAAGTGCCCACATCCTGTCGATATATGACAGTTTGAGGTTGGCCAAGGCCAAGTCGCTAGTCGAGTCGGGTCAGGAAGTTGGTGACTGCTGTCTGCAAGTCGTCCAGGCGAATCCACAGCCTGCCGTGTGGGTCGGCCTCGTAGAGAACCACCTGAGATGGCAAAAAGTCCCAAGACCTCAACCGTTTCAACCAAGGCAATGCAGGACGCTAATAGAGCAAGCCCTCCTGCTCTCCTCTTCTTCTGTTCCGCGAATTGGGCTTCCAAGAAGCTCGGTAGAAGGGGAAGGAGGCCCCAAGTCCACCGTAGAAGTTGCCTCGGCCAGGCCGCCCAGCCCCGCCGAATTCGCTTGGTGACGTTAGGCCTAAAAAGGAGGCCCTAACAAACCCCTCTGAAAGTGCGTGCCGTCAAGGATCTTTTGTAGGGTGGCCAAAGTCCTCTCGTGCAGGCTCCAAGCTGGATGCAGCAGGATCCGGACATTTGGATGGCTCCTTCCAAGCCTTTCTGGGCTGCGGCATCGCCAACCAGCTCGATGATGCCTGCCAGTCGAGTGTTGGGCTCTGGGTGTCCCTTGTCAGCGCATCTCGGCGGCCTGCGTCAGACCGTGCCAGGACCATGTTAGCCATGGCCCCTCCATGCGCGCCCACGATGAGCCGAGCCTGTCGAACCTGCTTTTCGGTTCGCCCAAAAAAGGGTTGAAAAATCTAGCCTGATGAAGTCTTTCGGACTGGAGTTTGGAATGTCCTCTGCAGCACCCCATGCAGGGTCCGCTGCTTCAAAGCTTTTGAAGCTTGGGTGCGCAGGGTGCAAGTTGATTTGAGGGCTCACCTATCTCAGAGTCGACTCGAGTCTTGCTCCATGAAGCTTTTCGCAATGAAATTCACCCCCCCCCCCCCGAAAGGTCCGCATGGCCACAGGGACTTGGGAGGTGCTTCGTGTTTCGGTGTTCAGGAAGAGTTGTTTACCCGCCCTGCAGGGATGATACTGATAGAGGGAATGGCGACAAGTGCCATCGGGGGAAGGCGACCTGCTTGTTCACCGGCGCGGGCGTGCGTGTGTGGACTGGCCAACTAGACAGCTAAACTCTCTTTTCTCCGTGCTCTTAGTCGTGCTAGTCTTGCTGAGAGGAAAAGGAGGGAGCGAGCTCGTGGAGCTGCCGACGTGCCGGAGTCTTGATGACGTTTTCCGGGGTGGACATAGTGCACGTACTGCTCAGTCACTCAGACATGCTGCATCATGCGGCGCTATAGGCTGGTATGCGTGAAGGTGTAGCGTTCTTGTCTGTTGGGGGAGCCAGGAGGAGCTTTATTGTGGTTGGAAAAAGCGGGCTAAAGGCGTCCTGGGTCTACGGGAGGCTGCTGGGCCTTCCAGGCCTGCTCCAAGAAGTCCGCACGGCCTGCGACGTCAGGGCCAGTTGTCAGGACCGGCCGTGTGTCCCATCGCCTCTCGTATTCTCTCGTTTAACCGCTCCTTATGCATGTCTGCTTTTTTTTTGCGAGTCTTGCCTGCGCACATCGACACCAGTTCCTCCGTCCGATTGGACTTGATCAGGGCCTAAGTGCCACTGCATGCGACTGCTGTCACGGCTGCCTGCAAGCTTCCTCGTGATCGGAAGGTACCGAGACTTTTTGGGCCTATGCTCAAACCAGCTCGGCACGGCCAGGGTGCACTGCTGATGGCAGCCAGTGCCGCCTGTTCGTTCTGGAGGATGCGGCGGTCGGTGCAACGTTGCAGGAAGAGTACCAAGCGCGGTGCAAAGGGCTCCGCCTAGATGCCGCGGCAGGAAACTTGATACGGTTGAATGTTCCCCGTTCTGTCCACAACAGTTCGGCAATGCCTCTTCACCTTCGAAGCCTTGTCCACCCTAAACACACCGGAACGGCGACAGAAGCCCCAAAACCCTTGGTCCCACCCGGCCCGTCGAGATCGAGCTTTCAAGCGATCTGTGGCCTCTAGCAGTCTAGCGGCTAGCGCTCAGGGCGTGCAGCAGGTCTGGGTGACAACCCTCTACAGCCCAACATCTTTTCAATCCATCCCCATGCCGTGTAGTTTGCGTAATCCTCAGGGCTCAAGCTACTGTGCATAGCACGTGAAGCCATTGAGACCAGCTGCCACGAAGCCGTTGTACTGTGCGATAGCATCTGAGATTTCCGGGCCCACCTGGGAAGGCGCTTCACATGTGCAAGATGAGCTTCTATGCTTGCCGTGAGGAACTCATGTTGGGACTCATTTATTTTGAGGGTGTTGTTGTTGGGCCTGGATATCGATGAGCCGGTGCCAAAGGTCACCGTCGATCCGACCTTGCAATTCTGCTTCAAGCGGGATGCAGAGGTTTGAAAAGTCGGGTTGGTGCATGTGGTGTGCAGCTTAGGGGGTCAGGGTGGACATGCTTCGGGGTTTCGGGTCGGCGTGTCCACTGCTTCTAATTCCAAAGGCTCTGAATTCCGAAGCATTCCGAAGCTGAACTCCATGATGAGCCCTGTGCCGGAGAGCCACGGTCCTGGTACGGATGCTTCGGCAGTGGTTCAGAGTCGCCAGAGCCGACACGCCAGAGATGCAGGCTTCGGCCGCTTTTTGCGCACAGCAGCGCCGCAGGTCGCTCATCCGTGAGGGGCACTTCCAGGATCTGCTCCTGAGGAGATATCAGATAAAGCGACTAAAGCGGAGCCGCGAATGGAGCGGAACGCGCGCGCGCTTTCGACTCCTCAGGGGCTCCCGGACCCCCTCTGGGTTCTGCCAGGGCACTGGCGGAAAGCCCAGGCTTGCCAGCAGCTGGCTCTGAAGTGAAGTGTGGATCACCAGCTTCCTCGCATGTCTCAACGGCTCCCAACACGTCGAAGTTAAGCATTTACGGGTCTCAAGAGATGAGGTGAAAGGTTTAGTCCCCTTTTCAGTGCCTTTCGCCAGTGCAAGCGGTCTAGGGTATCGGCCCGGATATAGGGTCTTGAGATGTTTTGAGTTGCCGTGGAGGGCTTTTTGGTTGTCCAGATTTTGAAAGATTGGAGTGACTTGGGCTTTAGGCTTTGGCTTTTTCGCTTAGTGTTCCAGGCGGGGGGAGGACAATTCGGAATGTGGGGATCAGTGTTCAGGACGTAGGTCAGGCTCACGGCTGGTGATACATGTCGACAATGTGCGCAAGCCGTTCCCGTTTGTGATCGCATGGGTCGCTTGCCGCATGAATTCAGCTCGGGGGCACAACCTGATCAAATTGGCCCCGGTCACGATTGGACAAGTTTTTCGTAGCTCCCAAGCTCGAAGGCTCTAAGGATTTTTCAACCATTCAGCTCTCCTGATCTCAAGCCCCAGTCCAATGCGCGAGAGAACAAAGATAACCAAACTCTTCGGCGAGTCATCCCAAGAAAGCTTTCAGTCAGACTTAGGCTCGTGGAGGAATTGCGCAACAGCTCCAGCACCGTCCAAGCTTGTGGCAGGAAGTCGATGAGTGAGTGCTGGTACCCCATCCTCGGTCTTGGAAAGGGTCTTGGGTCTTTTTCAAGTGGCTATCGCAGCCCAAAGTTGCCTCTTTCGGCACATGCTGGCCGGCCGGCAAACGAAGGCTTGCACAAGGGCATCGGCAAGAAGTGTCCACGTCCGCAACCAACAACACACCCAAAGACGTGTGCAACACATCTGAACCAAAGCCGGTGCTCAGGGGTTTCGAGGAGGCATAAGTCCTTTATTGCACTTGCTCTTGTAACTCCGAGCTGCAACCGAGATCCTACGCATGGAATGCGGCTGTACCAAAAGGCTTGCAGCCCAGAACACCACAAAAACGCTTAAATCCCTGTAAGGCTCAAAGCCCTGAGCTGCAGCAGCGCAGCTGGGGGGGCTCGCGGATGCTTGGGAGCACCAGCCTTCAGCCATGGGCACACATGTCTTTCGGCTCCTCGATCGTGTGAACGAACTTCTTGTTTCAGTTGCGCAACGAAGCGTGTAAGGGTCAAAGTCCATCACAAGCTGCTGATGTAATACCAGTATATTCTGAAATCAACTCATGGAAGCAGCCTTTGAAGTCATGTAAAAAGTACTAGAACACCATGTGTAATGGAGGGCGATAGACCGTAGAATTGTATGGCGTATTATGACACGGCACGGGGTATCCAGTACAGTATCTAGTACGCAATACTTCGCCTCCGCCTCGGCCACGGTGACCTCCCCCCCCCTGCCTGTTATGTGCACTTTCATGTCCTGTACCGGCTATAGTCGGACACATTTTCCGCATTTTGTCCAACCCCACCTCCTCTGCTGCCCGTCCTTCCTTCTCCGTTCCTTTTTCTGCAACTGCGGCCGCGCCCGCCCGCGCCGAGATGTACGATGCGAAGAGTTTACAATATAGCTGCATAACATAGCATAAGCTGCAAGGACAGAAGTTACCTCAAGACCATAAAGCCAGGGAGCATGTCCTGGTCGAAGACTTGTGCGGGCAGCTGGTGCCAGAAATCCTCCTGCTGGCAGCTCTCCGGGCAGTCCCTGACCAGGCTGCGCAAGGTGCCCAGTCAAGACCTCCAAACCAACCCCCCTACGTGCAAGCTTTTCAACCGTCCAAACCCCAAACAAAGCCCAGCCCTGAACCGTGAACCCAGCGCTTGCTGCCTGTGCAGGAACTGGCCATGGCTGGCGTTCGAGGCGAACGTCATCTTGATCGTCCTCCAACGCCTTTGCCTCAGCCCCACTCGACAAACAGCCAAGAGCAAGAGACCATTCAGATGGGAGCCTTCAACGTTGTGCCCCGAACAATGCGCAAGCTGCTGAGTGGCACGTTAATGCATCCACCCTCCAGAGGTGCCAGTTCTGCATTCAGGCTTCTGGCTGGATCCGTCACGAAGTAGTCCCGACCATCTCCACAGGCATATTCGGCATACGCATCCAGCAAAGACTGGTTGCCTAAGATGATTCCAAAGCATCTGTTCAGCCTTGTTCGTCGTTTCTCCATCCATCCCGCGTCAGTCTGCATCTCCCTCTCTCTCCATCTCTCTTTGCTTTGCTTTGCTTAGCCTTGCTTTGCTAGAGCTAGAGGCAGTCCGTCTAGCCCGCGCCAGGCGCTACCCCGTCCTCCCATTGGAATCTCTGGACTTGACATTCTGAGCGACACCAATCTCTTCCTGTCGCCAGGGTTAGGGGCAAAGGGGTTGCCCCTCTTGCCCGCGCGATGTCGCGCCCCCGACCGTTTTGGAGGGGCTAGAAAGGAAAAACTGCACCAATCAATCTTTCTCTCTGTTCAGTTCATCTCGGGGCATGGGAGTCTGGTCAGGACAAAGCCCACCCCTGCCAAGGGCTACCGGGCCTTCTCGAAACCAATCTCTCTTGCTTGCTGGCTTGCTTGCAGGGCGTTTGGAAGAATGGGGAAACGCGCCCCCACCCTCCTGCGCGAAAGCGCTACGTCACTGTCTGCGCCTGTTCAGTCAGCGTGAAACTTCGAGGCTCGGCACTGACAATGCGTGGAGCCTGACACCCTTTTTTAGACCCTTTAACTCCAGCCTCGTTCTGTTCGTCAGTGCCGGTGCCCCGCTCTGTGCTGCTCTCTCCAGACATTGCTGGGTCGTTTCCCGCCGCGGGTTTTTCTTTTCTTTCACAACAACTTGTGTGCCCCCGAAGCAACAGTAGTAGCTGTATAGTTTGCTGAGTCCCGCTGGCAGTGGGGTTTTTCCGCTCTGTGATAGTACGCATGTCAAGCTACATCACTTTCCCCCTTTTTTGCAGCCCCAACATTGCTTGGGGTTGACATTGGACGTGTTGTCGTGTCTGGAGGTTCCCCCCTTGCCTTTATTGCAGTATTTGTCCATCTGTGCTGGTCCACGATTACAACAGGAGCATACACAATTGAAAACTCTTGCTTGCTTGCTTGCTTGCTTGCTTGCTTGCTGGGGGTGGGAGTTTTCTCTGTTTCTCTCTCTCTCTCCCGGAGGGGTCGGTCAAGACCCCCGGGCAAAATGCCCACCCTCGTTTATGCAGGGTGAGGGGTGTGAAGAGCGAGTATAATGCATTCGGAAGCTAATAATGCCTTAAAATGTGCGATAACGAAACATGAATGCATGTATACTCTCAGTGACATTGTCCCCCACTACAACAATTGTTGCTCAAGACGGTGGCAAAAGCAGTGAAAAGATAGAACACGATAATGGTTCGAGCAACATTTGTTCCACCCATTACGGAGTAATGGGGACCGGTCAAAGTCCCCGGGCAAAAATGCCCACCCCAACGTTTTGTTGGAGCTTTCGGGGAGTGAGGAACGATTGTAGTTTGTCAAAAGGCTAAAGCCGTAAAGTGTAAAATGGAGGAGCGATGACAAACGTACAATCTGAAGGAATTTACATCGGTCCTTTTCCGTATTGGTCCTTGAATCCTTACAAATTGCCACCGACTTACAAGTCCAGGTTGGGGGGTTGGATTCAGGAATTCATATCAGGGGCGAACAAAGACAACGAGAAGACTAGCGAAAAAAGCTCCCCCTGTCTGGAAGAGGCAAGACCGACCGAAAAGAAAGTACTTGCTCGGGGGGGCCCCCAGGATTGGCATTGAATTATTACACTGAATGGCAGGCGTTCGGATCAGTATTCAAAAAAATTCCGGGTTCTAGGTGCTGCTAGTCGGCAGCTACCCTAGACATGTTCTGGGTTCCAGGTGCTGCAAGTCGGCAGCTAACCTAGGATTGAGCACTGTTCGGCTTGACCGAAAAGTCTAGAATACAGGTCCCCCCCTAAATCACACAGCTAGAAAGTGGTGTCAAGGCTTGCATGTAATCAACAAGAGGTGCGGTGGACTGTTCGACATCCCCAACCTGAAGAAGCAAGCACGCAAGTCACCCCCGAAACCGAAGAAGGTGAAAGTCCCCCGCATCTCTCCGGACGAATTTTCGCGCACTCACTCAGTTTGCTCAGATCTCCACCTCCCATAGAAGTGTCAGCGCTTACCGCTTATGGCTGCACTCTTGTCTTTCCCCCATGTCCCCTGCTGTCGGCGGAGTCGGCGCTGGGCTCGGTAGGCCAATTTGCTCTGTATCTTCCAAGCCTCCTTAACTCATCCACTGTAAACGCTTGGGTGTGAGGAAAGGGCATCCCCCTGTGCAGTTGTCGGGACTTCTTGTTGAGCACGACGGCGAGGTAGTGGGGCTCGCTCATCCCCCCCATGGCCAGTCTGGTGTAACGGGGAT